TCAATATTGTCAAAATAGCCATACTACCCAAAGCACTATACAGATTTAATGCAATTCCTATTAAGTTTCTGATGACATTTTTCAAAGAAATAGAAAAATCAGCCATGAGATTTATTTGGAAAAATAAGAGGCCCAGAATATCCAAAGAATCCTCAGCAAGAAAAGTGAAGCAGGAGGTATCCAAATAACAAACTTTAAATTTAATACAGAGCTATAGTAAAAAAAAAAAAAAAAAAAAAAAAGATGGTATTGGCACCAAAATAGACAATGAAGACCAAAGTACAGAATAGAAATACAGATGATAATCTGTACAGAATAGAAGACACAGAGACTAACCCACTTAAGTACAGTTATCTCATACTAGACAAGGCACCAAAACATGCACTGGAGAAAAGATAGCCTCTTCAACAAATGGTGCTGGGAAAACTGGAAATCCATATGCAACAAAATGAAACTGAATCCCTTTCTCTCACCATGCACAAAAGTTAACTCAAAATGGATCAAAAAACCTAGGAATTAAACCACAGGCTGCATCTAATAGAAGAAAAAATAGACCCAAATCTCCATCATGACAGGATAGGAACCAAATTACTCAACAAGACCCCTAAAGCACAAAAAAATCAAATCAAGAATCAATAAATGAAACTGTATCAAACTAAAAAGCTTCTTCTCAGCAAAAGAAAAAAAATATGTGAAGAGAGAGACTATAGAATGGGAGAAAATCTTTGCCACCTGCACCTCAGATAGAGCATTAATCTCTAGGATAGAAAATGAACTCAAAAACTTAACACTCAACAAACAAATAACCCAATCAATAAATGGGCAAAAGAACTTAACAGATATTTCACAGAAAAAGAAATATGAATGGTCAACGGATATATGAACAATGTTCAGTATCACTAGCAATTAGAGAAATGCTAATCAAAACCACTGAGATTCCATCTCACTCAAGTCAGAATGGTAACTATCAAGAATACAAGTAACAATAAATGTTGGCAAGGATGTGGGAGAATACAAATAGGAAAAGAAGAACTCAAATTATCCCAACTTGCTAATGACATGATTCTATATTTAGAAGACCCAGAAATCTTCACCAGGAAACTTCTAGAACTCAAATTAATTCAGTGAAGTAGCAGAATATAAAATTAACATTGAATATACAATATATATATATATATATATACATGTGTGTGTGTGTGTATATACACACACACACACACACACACACACACACACACACACACACTGCTGGTAGGACTGCAAATTGGTGCAACCACTATGGAAAACAGTATGGAGATTCCTCAGAAAACTTGGAATGGAACCACCATTTGACCCACTTATCCCATTCCTCAGCATATACCCAAAGGACTTAAAATCAGCATACTATAGTGACATCGCCACATCAATGTTGATAGCAGCTCGATTGACAATACCTAAGCTAGATATCCTTCAATAGATGAGTGGATAAAAAATGTGGTACATATACATAATGGAATGTATCCATATACATATTACTCAGCCATAAAGGAGAATGAAATTATGGCATTTGCCAGTAAATGGATGGAACTAGAGACTGTCATGCTAAGTGAAATAAGCCAATCCCAAAGAACCAAAGGGCACATGTTCTCTCTGATATATGGATGCTAAATCATAATAGGCAAGAGGGAGGGAGGAGTGGAGATTCACCAGACTGAACAACATGAAATGAAGGGGAAGGAAAGGAGTATGAGAATAGGAAAGACAGTATAATGAATGGGACATAACTTCCTTATGTTTATATATGAATACACGACCAGTGAAACTCCACATCATGTACCACAAGAATGAGAAGTTGTACTCCATGTATGTATGGTATGTCAAAATACATTCTACTGTCATGTATAATTAAAAAGTACAAATTTTTTTAAAGCAGGGAAAATAATAAAAATCACTATGGAGACAAAGTGATAACATGGAAATTGACTAAATAACATTTGATATGAGAATTGGATGATGAGAAGGAAAAAGTCATGTAAAGACCTGAGCAAAAAGTATTCTATCTCACTGGGGCCTAATAGGTTATCATGGCACCACGACACATGCCTGTAATCCCAGCAGATCAAGAGACTGAGGTAGGAGGATTGCGAGTTCAAGGCCAGCCTCAGCAATAATGAGGCCCTAAGCAACTCAGTGAGACCCTGTCTCTAAATAAAATACAAAATAGGGCTGGGGAAGTTGCTCAGTGGTCAAGAGACCCCGAGTTCAATCCTCAGTATCAAAAAAGGCATTCAACACAGAGAACAGCTTATAAAAAAATGCCCTGAGGCCCTAATGATCTCAGGTTGTTTAAGGAGCAACAAGGAGGAAATTTAAGAGAGAATAAATTGGAGAGATCACAATGAACATAATATTACATGGTAGTATATTAGAATTTTCTTGCAAATAAAATTGTAATTCATCATAGGGTTTTATGCACCCTATCTTCTTTGATAATGGCAACTCACTTTTCTTACTTGAAATATGCTTTTCCCCATTAGAAATTGTCTAGTAGAACTATCAATCTCTGTGCTCTACTAGATCCCTAGCAAGGCACAAGATTAATCAATAGTATTTACTCCTACTAAACATTTTTTCTCTTGATTTTATGACAGCTTTATTGAGATAGTATTTACATGCCATGATATAACATAAAATTCATCCAGTTTAAGTGGACAATTCAATGATTTGTAGTATATACACAGATATGTATAATCATCAGCCAATTCAATTTTGAAGCATTTTAATTTACCTCAATAAAACTGTGCCCTTTAAACTATTACCACTCTATTATCTTTCCATATACTCCTCCCAGTTCTAAGTAAGCAACCAAAAATGTACACTTTGTCTCTGTAACTCTTCAATTTTCTGAGTGTCAAATATAAATGGAATTGTATATTATGTGGTCTCTTTTGACGACTTCTTATATTTAACATTATGTTTTCAAGGGTTTTTTTCTATATTGTAGCATAAATCATTACACCATTAATTTTTATGGCTGAATAATATTATGTTGTTTGTATGCATACTTTATCCATTTTTCAATTGATGGACAATTGGATCATTTCTGTCTTTTGATTATCATGAACAATACTGCTATGAACATTTTTTGTACAAGACCTTTTGTGGATGTGCTTTCAATTCTCTTGAGTACATACTGAGAATTGGATTTACTGGGTAATATAGCCACTCTATGGGTAACATTATTAGGAACTGACAAACTGGTTGGTCTTCATGATGGCTATAAAAATTTGCATTCTCAAAAGCAATGCACGAAGTTTCCAATTTCTCTACATGCTCACCAATATGTATGCTATTGATATGAATGTTTATGTCCCTGAAAAATTCATATGTTGAAACCTGAACACTAATGTGAGTATTGGAAGGTAGGGCCTCTAGGAGATGATAAAGTTATGAGGGCTTCACATTCATGAGTGGGATTAGTTTCTTTATAATAGATACTTCTACCATGTGGGAATGTGGCAAGAAGGTGCCATCTGTGAACCAAGGAGCAAGCCCTCATAAGACATTGAATCTCTGGCACCTTTATGTTGAACTTCCCAGCATCTAGAACTTTGAGAAATGTCTATAGTTTGTAAGTTACCCAATGTATTTTGTTAGAGCATCCCAAACATACTAAGATAACTTATTTTTCTCCTTTTTATTAAAAAAAAAATAGCCATCCTAGTATGTGTAAAGTTGTATCTAATTGTGGTTTTGATTTGCATTTCCTTAATGACCAATTACATTGAACAACTTCTTCACACGGATACTAGGCTTCATATAAAAGCCTATTTTTGGAGAAATGTCTATTCAGATCCTTATTTGTCTTTTTTACTATTTAGTTGAAATGCTATTTCAAATTAATAGTAACTTCTGGGGTTTTTCAGGAAATGCTTATATTGATAGCTTTTATTGTTGTGTGGAGTATATCTTTTTGGCGTGGGGGGGTATGTTGTTTTTTTATTTAAAACTGAGCAGTTAAAGAGCCGAGCATCATGGTGCACGCCTGTAATCCCAGTGGCTCGGGAGGCTGAGGCAGTAGAATCAAGAGTTCAAAGCCAGCCTCAGCAATTTAGTGAGTCCCTAAGCAACTTAGCAAGACCCTGTCTCTAAATAAAATATAAGAAAATGTCTGGGGATGTGGCTCAATGGTTAAACACCCCTAGGTTCAATCCTTGGTACCAAAAAACAAAAAACAAAAAAACCTAACCAAAAAAAAAAAAAACCAGGTACTTGAAACCACATAATGTAGCAATTTTACAAATCAAGTTCTCCCCACTCCCTTGGGTGTTGTTGCTGCTGCTTATTGCAGTTGTTTACTGGTTTAGTGACTTTTGAACTAATTCTGTAAAGTCAGTATTATTTGTCATGTAAAGCCACTATAGTATCTCTTCTTTAACTTACTGGTCAGGTGATTATTGGACAGAGATTTTGATAGCATTATGGGATACTGTTTCATTCCAAATTTCTTTAAGAAGAAAGTGTTTTATTCTACATTGGGTTTGTAGCATTCACACACCATTATTTTAGACCTTCAGAATGCTGACAATTACTTCTTAGGATGAGTTTGCAATCCTTTTTGGAGACATTTAGTTGCTTGGTATATAGTATGGAAGAAAGCAAACTCCATTATAAAGTAGGTGGTTTACAAGTGGTTTCTTGTCCACCTTTTCTTAGGGAACAACCCTATAATCTTCCCCATATCACATTTCTCCCCATTTATGATCTGGCAATTCAAACTCTAATGAAAATCCTCAACCACCATTTCACACACACAGAAACAGCAAGCCCTTTTTTCCTTGCCTGTGGATTAAAATGTGAAGAATAGAAATTTGTCTTCAGTGCTCAGCCCTGACCCAGTCCTTCTCCCCAGTGTTCAGCTAATTGTAGACTGCACCTCACTGCTGAACCTCACCTTGCTCCCTTCTCACACACCTCCCTCTTCCCTTCCTTCCCTCTTTCCCCACAATCAAAGAACTTACAGAAATGCCAATCTTCTGAAGTAAGGAGCTTTGCTTCAGATGGATTTGTGTCTTGAAGGAGTGTTATCTTGTGGAGTCCCTGGAGGTTGGCCTGAGTGATTTGGCTTTGGCTTCTAATCAGTCCCGGATAATGGTTGAAACTTCTTGGACTTCTTCACTCTCTTCACCTTATTTGTCCTAGTATTGGAGGATTTTTTTCTTGAAGTCAAATGAAGCAGTTTTTTTATCCCCTTTTCCATCTTCTTCACCTGGAAGGGCAACAGGTAAATCCCAGAATGACATTAGGTTGCAGGAAGAAGATGGAGGGAGACTGAATGAGAAGTAGAGCTTCATAAGATGGGGCATGCAATACTTAAAGGGTTTGTGCCCTGCAGGGAAAGGGTAGGAGACTTGTGGGAGAAAGAATCAAGATGGAGAACTTGAATGATGTGGTCTTACCTTGTTCGCATTTCGGTATCTGGATTGGTATGGATTCCTCTTCTTCTTACCTCTTGAGCTGGAGGTTACCTGTTTCATATTGCTTATAATATAATTGTGCTAAGTTTTCTGGTAACTAATGATACTAAAACCTCCTAGTGGTCTTGCTAGGACTCCTGAGATCTTACAAAATACCTGTCACCATCACCATGCAGAGCCACACCCTCAGCTTTGTTTGTTCAGAGAGGCACTTTCCCCAGCCAATAGTGACTAAGGGAGACCTTTGACATCACAAATCACCACCCCTGGCTCTTCTCAAAGGGCATTGGGGAAATGAATTTGCTCTGGTCCAAGAAAGTGGGCATTTTCTCACCACCTTTGTAAATCTTGCCCCAACTGACCTGCTACCATTTCTCACCATCTATATAAACAGAAGGAAAAGAGTATTTCCTCCAAATCTTTTACCATAGCCTTCACCATTTCCCACTCCATTTTAACTCTGTTCTATCCCATATTACAAGTTGGATGAACCTTTGAGGACATTATGCTGAGTCAAATAAGTTAGAAAAAGACAAATAGTTTATGAGTCCACTTACATGAGGTAGTGAAATTTGTCAAATGGTGGTTAGCAAGGGCTGGGGGAGGCAATATTGAGAGTTGTGGTTTAAGAAGTACAGAGTTTCAATTTTCAAAATGAAAAAGTTCTAGACATCTTTTGTATCCACTACATAAATGCAGTTACCATAACGGTATTGTGTGCTTAGAAATAGTTAAAATGATACATTTCATGTTCTGTTTTTTAAATAATTCAAAGAAATAAATGTAAATAAAACATTGTCAATATTTTAAAGGGGTATTTACTGTTTGGCTACAAGTGGTCAGAAGAGTTTTCAGCTAAAAGTCAGATGATGGTAACAGAGCTCTACAATCTATCTGCCCTGTCAACTGTTGTTCCAACATTAGGGTCCAGCTTCTCACCTGAAGTCTAACAGTTTTCCTCCATCTTGGTTACATATCAGGGCCTCCAGAAGATGCCCGAGTTGTACCCCTAGGGACTCTAACCTACTTTGGGATATGGCCTGGAAATCAGAAATAAAATGTGATTCTCGTGCAGAGCCAAGATGGAGGAGCATTGATACAGAAATTCAGAGTGGATATTCAGGTCTCCTTGTAGTTTTGAGGAGTTTTTGGTGTTTTGGGGGTTGGTTGTTTGGTGGGTTGTGTTTTTTTCTGGAATTATTTTTAAAGTGGGTATTTTGTAAGGGGCTGAAATAAAGTATCCAGTGGAGCTAGAGAGGAGATAAAATCATCAAGGCTTGATGATGATTAGGATGAAGGGGAGTTACAGGTAATTTCTAGAGTCCTGTCTTAGACAACAGAAAGGATGGTAATATGATTCTAAGAGGTGAGGAAAATTGAAGAGAACAGTATTTGAAGGGAGAAGATCATGGATTCCATTTAGGATACATATAGAGCTTGAGATACCCAGAGATCCATGTAGCGATGGTGAGTATGGAAGATTGGAAATGATCTTGATCTTGGAGAGAGGTCCATGTCACAGACAAATGTTTGTATCATTTAAAGGTATAAGAATGGATTAATTAGCCATAGGGAGTAAGTATAGAATGAGAAGAGAGCTCAGAACCAAATTTATTAAGCATATTAATTTTGGCTTGGAAAGCCAAAAAAAATTATTCTGAAAAATGGTCAAATAATACTATCAGATACTTCATTTGTACTAAGCAATTTTCTTTAATTATTTATTTATTTTTTAGAGAGAGAGAGAGAGAGAGAAATTTTTTTGATATTTATTTTTTAGTTTTCGGTGGACACAACATCTTTGTTGGTATGTGGTGCTGAGGATTGAACCCGGGCCGCACGCATGCCAGGCGAGCACGCTACCACTTGAGCCACATCCCCAGCCCACTAAGCAATGTTTTAAAGGCTATAATTATTTTGAAATATTTAGTCCTCACAACAACTCTATGAGTTAGGTCACTGCAATAAAGCATTTAATTCTATTTTGATTTTTTAACTACAGAGAGTTTTCAAGCCAATTCCTCCTTGCCCTTTTGCCTAATATTTTTACCCAAATTAGATGCTCGGTCATTTGGTTCCAGTAGAAATTTCAAACCATGAATACCTAGCTGCCCCCACCCCAAACACACACATGACCTCTCAGCCCAGCTCCACTCTTAACCATAATGAAAGCCCTAGGCAACTCACCACCACCTTACTCCCAACTCACTACAGATTAAGCCTTAGGCCTTTTCCTTAGGGAGATCTTTTGCTATTTACTATGTGAGTAATAAACTGCATAAATTTCCTGTAGCTGCTATAAGTTACCACAAACTTGATGTTTATACTATAGATTTCTCAGAGTTCTGAAGGCCAAGAATCCAAAATTAGTTTCACTTGTCTGAAGTCAGGGTGTAGGTAGGACCACACTGCATTTCCAGGTTCTAATGGAGAATCCATGCATCTATGGTTTCTTCCAGCCTGGATGACTGCTGATATTCCTTGGTTTATGGCCATATCATTCCAGTCCTTAAAAATAGCATCTTCAAATCTCTGCTCATCTTCATATTGGTTTTGTGTGTGTGTGTGTGTGTGTGTGTGTGTGTGTGTGTGTGTTAGAGAAAGAAAAATCAACCTCTGCCTCATTATAAGGATACACATGATTGCATTTCTGGCCCACCCAGATAATCCAATACACTCTCCCATCTCAAGATCCTTGATTTGTCAGGCACAATGTCGGATGCCTGTAATCCTAGCCAGTCACAAGTCTGAGGCAGAAGGATTGAGACTACAAAGCAATTTAGCAATTTTGCAAGGCCCTAAGCAACTTAGCAAGACCCTGTCTCTAAATTAAAAAAAAATTAAAAAAATTAAAAAGGACTGGGGATATGGCTCATTGGTTAAGTGGCCTTGGGTTCAATCCCTGATAGCAAAAAAAAAAAAAAATCCTTAATCATATATGCAAAAACTATTTTCAAATAGGATAACATTTCAGTTTCCAGGGATTAGGTCCTCATTTGTTGGTGGCCGTATTTCAGTCCACCACATTGGTGCCTATATATCATTTGTCTCAGCACCCCAAAATGCAGAGATGGGAAAAACTGCCCAGTGTCCATCAGGGAATGCTATGCACCCACATAAAACAATAATATCATTACCAATTCACAGAGGATGGAACTGTGAGTGGAAACACTCAAGTTTGGGGAGTTGGAAAAAGATGTGTTTGGTTCTGTTTTCTTTCAACAGGATCTCTCCCTCATTACCTGAAAAAAAAATCATGGAGTCCTTAACAGCAAACAGACAAGAAGTGAAAAAGCTGAATGAGTTGGTTTGAAAGTGTTGGGGGAAACAAAATTTTTTTAAAAAGTCAAGAGCCAATGGGGCATGGAAATTTGTAAGTGTAGAATTACCTGATCATGCTGTGGAGCACAGCAGATGCTCTAAATGCATGCAGGTGGCTAGCAAGTATCTACAAAGCACACGTGGTTTTCAACTGTCCTTATATGAAGTTAGAGCTACAGTTATTCTACATCATCCTACCTTTTAAGAAGCAGCAGATATTCAACTTATATCAGTAGTTAACTTGACAGTAGTTACTCTGAACTCTTATTTTTCCTAATTATAAGGCTTACTCTGACATTTTATTCTTTATAATTCTTTATCAGCACCTCCTACGGTTTCCCCTGACAGTTGATCTTACACATATGATTAGTCGCATCCTTCAACATTCCTCAGTGAGGTTAGATGAAGTTCAGTTTCCCCACAGAAGTCAAAAGACTGGGTTCACAGCCCAGTTCTGACACTAACTTGCTGTGCAACATGGGGCAATTCCCTTCTATATTGGCTTCAGGTTTGCATCTGAAAAACAAGTTCAAAAGCACACAGTCCTTTATGAGGTGGCTGAAGCACCCTGGACTCGCCTGGAGGGAAATAGTTATAAGCAATCAGTGTAATGTAAAAGGAAGCTCAAGTATGCCTCTTAAACCACAGCACCTCTGCCCCACATAGGAGACTGACGCCTCTGCAAAGTCTCAAGTTGGTGCTGAATGCTACTACGTGGCGTTAGGCAAAGAAAGGCAATCATTCTTCTTTGCAATGACTGTAACAGATCTTATTCTTGGCAATTACTGTAGGTGGGCATGAGAAAATTCTTTCATGATGAACGAAAGCCTTTGTGCTTTTTCCAAGCAGTGGAAAACAGCCTAGATGGTCATACCAAGTTACCCTGATGGAAGAATTTAGAATGCTAATTTGAAAAACAGGCACATGATATTACAATGAAGGCCTCTGCCTCCTTTCTTCTCCATCTCTTTTCCTGTCTCCTGCTAGCTCTAATCATTTCTCTGGAAATTCTAAAACTTGACAGTAATCATTTTTATTGGATTTAAGCAAGCCAAATTAATTAGCAAAACAGTAGAGACAAATAACTAGCTTAATGTGCTCCTGGGGTAGAAAACCTTTAAAAACTATTTTTTCCACATGGGTTAACCCACCTCCAGCATAGAACAGGACAGCATGCGCTTTGAACCTGATGAGGTTGGGTTAAAATCTCAGCCCTATTACTTCCTAACTATGTGATTTCAGGCAAGTCATTTCACCTGACCCCCCACTTCCTCATATATGAAATCAGTCTCACAATAGCTACTCACTGTGTTAAGTGATTTACACAGTTAATTTCATTTAATTCTCATAGTAGCTTCTGAGGTGGATGTCATCTTGTGTGTGTGTGTGTGTGTGTGTGTGTGTGTGTGTGATGATTGAGCTAACTTAAGTGAGCAATGGGCACATAGTAGGTGCTAAAGGAAATTGCAGCCAATTATTATTGTATGTTCAGTTTTATACTAGGTACTGTGGGGCAAATCAAGAAATAATAACTATTCTAGTACAAATTAGCACTGCATAATGTATTAATATTTTTAAGTAGAAGGGGAATATTCAAAGGAATTGCATTCCTCAGTTTCTGGATCTTGACTGGTTCTTTTTGGTTTGGAATAGCATGGGTAAAATTGAATTAAACACCCTTCCTAGCCAGATGAGCCTCCAAGGGTCATAGGGCTGAATATAAAACAAATTAAAAGTAGAAACGATTTAGGACATTCAAGCAGTCTCTGCAGGAGAAGGCAAGAACTTACATTACCTTCCTGCAAACCCTTCACAGAATGGCCTCCACCAACTTGGCATTGGGCCACCGATCATTCCTCCCATCTTACTGTCTGTCACACATGCTCCTTGCAGAGCTTGTCAATCCCTGCTTTTTAATCTTCTTGGCCTTCTTCAGGTTATTCTCTTTGTCTGGCAGAAGATGTATATTCCCATTGAAATTCAACTCATAAGTTCAAATGGCCCCTCTGGGGATGGTATCCCGACTAAAAGTTGAGCCTGACTTTCTATGGCATATGGTGAAAATAGCAGCTCTTTAATATGATGAGATATGATTAGTTTAGTTGATATTAAAAGCATCACAAATGTATGGTTAATTTTTAAAATAAAAATAAGAGTGATATTTATGTAATATGCATAAATCAATTCTGAACATAAATCAATAAAATATTACTACTACTCATCAGATGTCAGTTTATTACCAGATGCCAATAATTATAACCTTATCTATATCACATGCATCTTGCTACATAAACATACACTTTTGAATTAAATAATTTCATGTAGATTATAGACTCATGTATGAGGAAAACACAATTAATACCAAAGTCTAAAATATGATACTGTATTAGTCCACTTTGTTACTATAATGAAGTTCCTAAGGATGTGTACCTCAAAAAGAAAAGTGGTTTTATTTAGTTCAGTTTTGGAGGCTGAAATCCCAAGATTAGGTGGCCCCATCGATTTGGCATCTTGACTATGCATTATTTAAGCTATTTAGTGCCTAAGCCACTTTTATAGTTTTATTGAATAAATGAATGAAAGATAAAGACTTTCAATTAATACATATAGAAAGGATGATGGGGGAAAATCAGAATTTGGCAAACACTACAGCAATAGTTGATTCAAGAAAAACCATCATGGAAGCTAAAATTAATAAAGTAGCAGTATGATGATGAACAGGATATTTGCATGCCCCATGAAGTCTCATCACCACCTCCCTTAAGTTATTGCCACAAATATATACTTGGAATTTCATCAGAATAAAACCTTGAACTCAAATTGAATGTCATTCTACAAAATAAATGGTCCGTTCTCTTCAAAAGTTTCAGAATCACTAAAAATAAACACTAAGGAATCGTTCCAGATTATAGACATCTAAGGAGAAATGACAACTAAATGCAATGTGAAATTGTGGATTGGATCATAGAAGGAAAGAAAAAGAAGGACAGGGAGAAAGAGGGAGGAAGGAAAAAATAAAGGAAAAGAAACAAGATTATTTTTTGGTAGGATAACTGATAAAATATATATATAAGGTCTGCATATTGAGTAATGCTATTGCATCAATGTGAATTTTCTAATTGTGATACTGTGGCTGTAAAAGATGTAAATATTTGAGAGCTAGGTGAAGGTTATGACAATTCTTTCTACTATGTTTTAAATATTAAGTTAGGTTTTTAAAAATTCACAAGTTGAACAAAATAAATTAGAACAAA